GTCGTAGTTTCAGCTCATTCGTGTGTTAAATGGCTTCTTTTGCTTTATTATGTTTTCCTTTATAGCTCTAGTTGTAATGAATCGAAACAGTTTTTTAGCTATAAAAAGATTTTTATACTTAAATGTGTTAGAGGAAATTTGAAACGTCTAAATCTCTTAATCTATTCATAATTTATATAAATGACTCGGCTTTCAGATTTTAATAAGGAAGGTCGTTTTAAACGAGTAATATTCGTGAATTACATTTCCTATAATAAGAAATGACATAAGGTAACATGAAGCTGTGTGTGTGAGTCTACTTAGATAAGAACGGTGTATGTACATAAAAATACAACAAAATAATACCAGCAGTAGATAAACATATGATTAAATAATATAAAAATGATACTGTTGATAATCGCAACTATTTAAATAATATTGCAACAGCTGTAAATGCAGACTAAAACATAGAGCAAATAAAACCTTATGCGGAAAATTCAAGTGAAAGATATATGGTTTATTTTTGTTGTTCCACCATGAAAGTTGGCCGTCGCGATTTTCGTTCTGCGTCAACGTTGCTCGGCCAAATTTATAGCTATTTGCAGTTCAGACTTTCTGTTTTCACATGTCAGGGTTGCGAACGCAAGTTGTACGGTATGAGGTACGCCAATTCGTCCCAAGATGCTTTTCTCCAGTATGAATTTTGTCGATAAAGCAGTAACAAACAATATATTTGTATGATAAAACGATAACACGATGTTAATAATAAAATTTAAAAACAAATTCAGACATTGATATGTCAAATAAAATACATCCATTTTAGAATTTTTTAGTAAATTTCTCATTTTTAACAAACAATACAGATGAAAACAATTCTCGAAACTCTCACCCGAAAGTGAGCCGTGTTGAATAATTTCATAACCACGAATCCACTAATTTTTATTGTAAATACGCACGGTCGGTGTTGTCTGTAAGCAGAGGCAATTTTCTTGAGCAACGCTCGCCGGTGTGGTATAATGGTACCATTAAAACACCACCCACGAGTGTAGAGTAAATTGCATTTGCCGACATAGGTTCGTATTTTACAATCAAATGTTGATTTGCGCTGAGCTGCCAACACTGCATTAGGGTACATAAATTTGCTTACTTAAACGATAAACTTATGCGAGAAAGGGCTTGAACACGAAATTGTTTCTGAAAGGTAACCAGCAGCATTAAATGTTAATTTATTACCCCCAATATAGAATTGTTTTGTTTTAGGTCAGCGCTTAAACCTGTATTAACGTTGTGTTGTATCAATTCCAACTTACAGTCCCGAAGGTATTTCAATCAAAACTTGGAACAGGAATGTAACGTGAATTCTCAAAATTTGAAAAACCGAGCCTTTCGTGATCAACAGTTGTAAGAAAATCAGCATTATAGTAGACAAACACGAAGGAACGGGTGGCGTTGGACTTGTTACGAAAAGAAAAGGTCTTTCTAGGAAGTGCTTAGAGCGAATTAAAAGCGAGCAAGGCGTGTTTTTCAGTCTCAAACATATAATCTAACAATCAGCCGGAGAACGGACAATCATTATTTGAGTAATAAAGGCACACGGAGGCGTGAGGCAACCTTGGTCGAAAAGAACAGTTGCCATAGCCAGTCGACAACAGCGCGGCTACATATTCACAGTAAAAAACCTAACAAAAACTCAACCGAGTCGAGTCTACAGTACGCGGTTCAGATTATAATGATCCAAAACCCCGCCCTGAGTTAATTTTGTTATTTCTTATACGTTGCATCGAGCTCACAGTTTCTGTTATTCTTTTTCGTCCAGAATATTGATTTCTTAATCGCATAATACGTTTAATGAAGATGATCATACGTTTTTCAACGATTAGCATCATCACGATTGAAATAGCGATAATTATACAGCCCATTGTAGTATAATTATTAAAGCGTAGCAAACGATACAACTGGATTCATTTCCTCATATTACCGAGATAATTTCAGTTAAAAATGTGTCGTGATTTGATATCAGGAAGCGATAGATTTCCGCGGGGCCTACGTGATAAGTCGTGAGGAAAATTCGTAGTTTAAACATTACAAATGCAACGCGAATGACCTAAGATTACAATTTCCTAGTAGTGAGAGCGTGTCATACAGACGATGCGGACATGAGCGATACGCTGCCAGTACGTACGAGAAAGGCCACTCACACTACAGATGAGACTATAAATATTACGAGTTGACATTGAAATGTTAATGCACCCCGAGGGTTGGCTCGTGCACACTCGGATATTTTGTTCGCAGCAATAAGACCATAAGTTTTTTCCGTCCTATCGATTGTTTTGACTTGAGTTACTACATTGGTTATTGGAGTTGCGATAACGCGAAAAAATCATAGGCAATGTCGTTGATCTCGTGTCGTTTTACGTGGCATAATGCGTCATTTGAACAACGCCGTCTAACTGCGTTCGCATTGGAATCAGATCGTAATATTATTCATCGTAATTTTAGAACAGATAAAGAATACATCTGCTACTCTAAATTTAAAATGTATTGACTTGGAAATTTGTTAACGAGTTATTCAGCTTTGATAATTGCAAATTATTCATTATAATAAAGTTCAATATGATTTTTAAGAAATGAGTTAGTCTGTACAACATAAATTATTCATTACTCATATATTATTGAAGTTTCGACTTTTGCGAATAGTTAGCGATATTTTTTATAATAATACTCAATATAGTTTATATTCAATTGGTTTTGGATTATTTAATAAACAGACTTAATGTATTTATTACTGCTGTTGGCAAATACATTTTAAAAATATCAGTTTTAATAACATAAAGTGGTGTTTTATTATTAAAAAGAGTTATTAATTTAAAATTGAATTCTTTTTTAATATAGTAATCCCCGAATTGTCCCTAAATAGAAGTAGATAGTTCGTGAAGCACTATTGCACAATATTTTTATTCGTTTCTGATAGAAACATGTACTCACTTGTTTTGTAGGTTTTTTTATTAAAAGCTAGATAATGTAAATTAGATAATATTATTTTGCCTAATTTTTTATTTTAGCTATTTAGTGCAGTATATACATACAGAAATCATTCTAATTATATTTTTTCCTTTAACCCCTGCCTACTGACATTTGATTGCATGTTCTTACTTCATTACTCGTCGCTTGTAACTCGTTTAGTGAACGAATTGAATTCCCTATCTCGGTAGCCGACTTGATAGCCACTGTACCTATAGCTAATTATGTTTATCGAAATCACAATCTAACTACGAGTTATTTCTCGATAACTTATGCATTTCTGATAAAATCTACAGATGTTGTAACAAATATCTCGGTAAATATGTTTAAAAAAATGAGAAATTTACGAAATATTATTTCAATAATATATTATTGGTAATTTTTGTTATATGGTTATATGTTAAGTATTTATATTACAATTATTGATCAGGTGAAATAGATAAAGTGCTTATAAAAAACAAACGAATATGTAAGATTTTTTCCGGTTAATCATTGCATCACATTAAATAAAAAAAAAATACCTACAACTTAATAAATATTTCCATTCGATACAATTTTCCTATTTTAATAATTAAAAGTGAAACACAATGTATATAGAGTTTCTCTGATTTCACAAATTAATATTCTAACCAATTGAATTTATAAAGTTACATTAAAACGTTTAAATTTAGCATAAGTATGACCAATATTAATAATCGTAATTATCAAATTAGGTATAACGATTGTTTTGTTATAATTATTTTTAAGTTGAACAATATCCTAACAAATTTAAATTTAAATGAACCGAGTTACGAGTTAAGCGCATTAAATTCTACAAATTACAAATGAAATATTATCATTTATTAAAAATGTGCAAATACAATATTAACCAATATTATCGTTTATAAAAAAGGTTCAAATGTAATATTACCAATATTTTCATTTATTCAAAATGTTCAAAAGATATATAACCAATATTATTATTTATTACGTTTGAATTATGTTGTATTCTGTTATGGAATTATTTTTAAAATGAACTTGTATATTTCACGCGTGTGACTTACAGATGTTTATCAATAGTTTGTATTATTTACTACATTTTTATTACTTTAATGTTATACGTCACTTGAAAAACATGTTTACAAAATACAATTAAGTATATTATTATTTTTCACCATGTGTAGCGATAAAATGAACTGCGCATTATTTTGTATTTTTTTTTCTTCTACAGTTTGTTCCTGCTTAGTTTGTTGTTAGAGCCTATTAGTTAATGCAGATATCATATATTCAACTAATTATATATGTGCATAATTATTTTTAATGTTTTTCTAATTAACATTTGCTATCTCACTTCAGTTATCTATAAGCGAAGTTTTAGTATATCGTCTTATTGTAAACTCGTTTGTAAACTAGAATTATCATTTTGAATTCACAATTTTGTAGTTTTCGTAATATTTTTAATTTCTTTTTTTTATTTACAAAATTTAATAAATTCACTTTTTCTATAATTTTCATATTTATATAAATTTATTTATATGTTTATATTTAAAATTATCTTTATAGAAATTAAAGAAGTTAATTCTATTGATGGAGCGTTAAAGCTAAAGTAAGTTAGAAGTTAGCGTGCCCGTACGGACTTCTGCGAAGTTTATATTTAACTGTACAGTTTTAAAAATATCTAGAAGCTCATTTTAATTATTTAATAATAAAAATATATTCGAATGAGTTTAATTTTATTCGTGTAATTAAATAAAAACGTAAAATAAAATATTTATTTTGTTTAATTAACGGCGTTGAGTTAAAGTTAATAAATTATATTTTTATTGTTTAATATATTTGATTTTTTAATAGAATTTCAATAATGATTTATAATTTAATTTGTAAGGTAGGTTTATTAAAATTTATTCCAAGTACATAAGTTTGTTTAATTTAATATTTTATTGAGATGTAAAATATTTTTAATGAGTTTAACTATTTTTGTGTGTGCACTAATTTTTTTTCAATAATTAATTAGCACTTACCTGAGTGGCATCAGTGTAAGGGGTAGATGAATTTTTGTCGACCAACTGGGAACCGAACACTGGTACTCCGCTCGAGGTCGGCGAAAGCGAACGCACATCCGAAACTTGTTGGGGCACCATTTTCATTTATCCAGTGTTAAAAAAAAATATAAAAAAAAAATAATATAAACCAAGTAACTAAAAACACAAACACCGTTCACGTATTGCACTTAATAAAAATTTATTCACTATATACTATATTTTTGTTCAAAAAAGTTTGTTTGAAAGTTTTTATTTGTCAATGTTTATTGCAGTCCGAATAGCGCTAGGAGTTTGTGATTCTTCCCGTACCGAAGCCTATCGGCAACCGAAGTACCGGAGATCTCCCAATACCTGGACACTATCCTCAGAGCTTTCTCTTCTAGAACGAGATATCTACTGCTTTCTTCTTCGCCGGCGATCGGTCCAAAAGTCATAATTTTAACGGGTCCCAACCGCAGCTCAGCTATTACTGCGGGGCGATCGTAGCATAATCGAACGGGAGTATGTATTAGAGGCGGCTACGTGCGAACTCCGCGGTGGATGCGAACCTACTAAAGTACTGAGCGGCAACGTGTCGAGCCACTGTCAATATACCCGCGCGGTCAGCTGTTCGTCCCCCGCCCCGCGCCGCGCAAGCGTACCTCACCCCCCCACACGCCCTCCCCACACCCCCGCCGCCTCGCAATCGCGCTCAAGCAACCGCCACATCAACACGCGCCAATATTTACACACAACCAAATAATAATACACAAACGAATGCGTTCGAAATTCAAAATTGACGTTCCTATTTTGAATGTTTACTAGGGATGTACTCGATATATTTATAATTAATTTTAATCAAATAATTAATATGTTGTTTTGATATAGAAAAATATATGCGTTGTTTTAATTTAAATACGTAGATGTTATTATTTAGATAATAATAAAGGTGAGTAGTTTGTTTTATGGGTTACTAATTACTGATATACACTAAGTTTTATTTTGTACATATTATACATAGAAAATACTCACATCGATACAAACAAACTACTCATGTATAGACCGTTCACCTTGCGAGGAATCGAACCCGTGACCGTAGGACGTAAAGATATCTCTAGAACACCGAAGGCGTAGTTAGATGGATAAAAAGTAATATATAGGTATTTTATTTTTTAATGAACGCAAATACATTTTCTATAGTCTATGATAGATTAATTCATACATACCTAAATACGTGTGTACGTGATAAAACAACTTATTCTTAAGTAAAATAGAGTTCAAGTTTTTTTATATGTAAATTCGTGTTTTGTATGTAATTTTTATATACGGTAAATAAGATCAACATTTACTTAAAATATACAGTATTTTTTTTATATTAAAACCAAACAGAAAAGGAAAGCAGTCGAAAATAAGCTAGTAAATGGGACTACTATAACGACCCAAAATTTTATTTTGTAAGAAAATATTACGGTAGGAAAAAAATATTAATACAAAAATCGGACTTTCATAAGCAGCTAAAATGTAATACTTAAATATTGTAAAACGGAATACTGTATTTTATATGAATAAAATAATATATAAATATGTACCTATTGTAAGTATAATAGATAAGAGAGACCTATGTGCCTGCAGACAAACCCCGACAGGAGTTTTGCAGGATAGTAGAATAATAATATGTAAAATTTGAAAAATAATTCTATCTATCTATATATCTATGTACAGGAATAAATGATTTCTGATTTGATTTGATTTGATTAAACGGTATATTATACTTTTATTTAGAATTTCTCGATAACACAATGATTGTTATTAATACTTTAAAATACATTAAAAGAGACTTTTAATTTATAATAAATTCATTTATAATTGCACATGCGTAAATAATAAATTTATTTAATTAATACCTATTTTAATTTTAATGTGGAGAAATGGTTATTTAGCGAACAATCATAACAAAATTTAATGATATTATTTATTTATAGTGATTAATAAAATATATCAGTGTTATCAGATATTGCCAGTATTTTACAATATATCGGTTATTCAACCGGCAGACTTTTAAATACTAATCAAGTATTTGACGTAATTAAATATATTAACAAAATTAATAAATTTCATATAAATTAACACAGCATTATACAGTCTCAAGTTGAGCAGAGAAATATTTATGATAAATACTTAAATTCAATGTTTTTGTATACATTGGTATATTACCAACACAAACAACGATAATCGTGTATACAAATGTTTACACCGTGCGAGGAATCGAACCCATGACCATTGGAAGTAAAGCGGTGTTCTGAACTAGACTATCATCTAGAACCTAAAACAAGATCTGATTAGCTTGACACTAGATGGCGCTGTGTGAATTGTCCAGGATTATTATTTCCAGGACTGGCATCAAAAGTCCCCGTTACTTGCGTTTCCGGCCTTGCTACAGAGACCTTCATCTAAACTTAATTCCAGTATCCAAACAAAGCAGCGGTCAGAGCTTGTTCTAATACAGCTGATTAATATTAAACAGGCAATAAGCACAAAGAAAGACCAATTCTGACCACTTAACCACTACTCCTTTTAGGAAACCTGTCTTTTATGTCTATTACCACCATAATTGTCCTTAACACCATATATAATGAACAGAAGTGTTTAATCAGTTAGCATGACTGTATTCATACCAACACGACTGCAATTCCTGACAGGTAGCAATGGGTCAACAGTTTAGATTACTGACAACTCCATTCCGCCTAATATATAAAATTCTCGGGTCCCAGTGTTTGCATCAAAACTCCTACGAAATGGCTGGACCGATTGTCATGAAATTTTAGGTGTTCAGTAGGTCTTACGTAGGTTCTAAGGTCTGAATTTTCGTCACATCGCCGAGAATATTTGTATACAACATAACAAAGAAAGACTAAAGCTGAACTGTTAGAAGTGATAATCAAACTTGAATTAAAAATAATGTCTCTATCTACCCTTGGTTTAAAGGAAAAAAGCTCTTGACTTATATAAAAGGTGCCAAAAATTATATACTTACCTTTCCTTAGTCGATTTTCATATCTTTTGCGCACAATCCAGTGAACCAACCCTCATGTTATCTGTATCAAAAATAAAATATATAAATGTATCAAATAGATATATAGGCAGAATATGCTCTAATTGTACCATACAGTAAATAAACAATATATTAAATAACACTTGTATAATTACAATCAGGCGGCTTTATTTGTAAGTGCAGTCTGTACAAGGCAATATTAGGGAAACGCATTTAAATACTGAACAGGTAGGTAATATGCGAACAGGAGAAAAAAAAGAACAAATAATTAATACAGACATATTTTGTCACATAATAATTATTGTAAAATTCTGATTTGATAAGAATTAATATAAAAAAAAATTATTAAGTTCCACTCAAAAAACAGATTATACGTCCCTATACGTTTTGAAGTTGTATTACGCTCGATTACTTTTAACCAATAATAATATATCAATTCTTATTTATCTTTATCACTATAATATTTTTATAACGAAAATAAGTTAAAAAAATTAACTAGGTTTATATCATAGAAGCCAGACAAAAGAAATTGTCATTTCAATGTAAAAATATTTAGGTTTACGTAACGGATATTGAACAAAACCGAATCCTTTATATGAAAAGTGTGACTCGAGGATTAGCCTCGTTTAGAAAAAAAGAACAAATAATTAATACAGACATTTTTTTGTTACATAATAATTATTGTAAAATTCTGATTTAATAAAAATTAATATAAAAAAAAACTATTAAGTTCCACTCAAAAAACAGATTATACGTCTCTATACCTTTTGAAGTTGTATTATGCTCGATTACTTTTAACCAATAATAATATATCAATTCTTATTTATCTTTATCACTATAATATTTTTATAACGAAAATAAGTTTAAAAAATTAACTAGGTTTTTATCAAGAAGCCAGACAAAAGAAATTGTCATTTCAATGTAAAAATATTTAGGTTTACGTAACGGATATTGAACAAAACCGAATCCTTTATATGAAAAGTGTGACTCGAGGATTAGCCTCGTTTAGGTGATGCGAATTAAGTATATATTATTATCAAATAATTAGTATATACAATTTCTTCTTGTATAATAATATAATCAGTGGAAAACTTTGATTTGATATGAATTAATATACCTAAATATTAAGAGCACCTCAAAAATACTTTATACGTCCCTATAATTTTAAATTTAGAATTCACTAGATTATGTTTTAACAAATGACGTTATATTAATGCTAATTATCTTTTTCACTATTACATTTTGTATAATAAAATTATTTAATTTTCATAATAAATAACAAATTGTACTGCTAGGATTAGCCTCGTTTCGGAAATACTTATTAAGTTTATAATAATTATCAAATAATTAATATAGTCAATTTCTTGTTATATAATAATTAATTGAATAGTCTCATTTGATATGAATTAATATAAATATTCCCAAAAATAGTTTATACGTCTCTATAATTCTAAATTTAGAATTCACTAGATTACTTTTCAACAAATAACATTATATTAATTCTTATTTATCATTTTCTTAATTAGATTTTGTATAATAAAGTTATTTATTTTCTTAATAAATAACAAAAAGTATGACTACTGGGATTAGCCTCGTTTCGGAAATACTTATTAAGTTTATAATAATTATCAAATAATTAATATTTCTTTCTCATTCAATCATGTCAATTTCTTGTTATATAATAATTAATTGAATAGTCTGATTTGATATAAATTAATATAAATATTAAGTGCCACTCAAAATATATTATAAGTCCCTATAATTTTGAATTTGGAATACACTTGTTTATGTTTAACAAATAACGTTATATTTTTTTTTAATAAAATTATTATGTATTATTTTTAAATAAAATTATTTAACTAGGTTTTTATTACAGAAGCCAGACAAAAGAAATTGTTATTTCATTGTAAAAATATTTAGGTTTTCGTATCGGATATCAAACAAAAAGGAATCCTTTATATGAAAAGTGTAAGTCGAGGATTAGCCTCGTTTAGGTGATGCGTATTAGGTAAGTTTGTCCTGTCAATTTCACACTGCAAACACAAAAGATTCGCGCCTTATCTAATCAATTATTGAACAATAAGTTAGGATTATTGGCAATATTCGGTGTATTGATAGTGTTGTTGAATTGAGGACGTGATTACCGATTCAAGTACAAAGGATTTCGTTCGTGGAACTTTTTTTTTTAAATCTTTGAATTCACTTGAAGTACTAAATTTTGAACTGTGTTATTGTAACATTCAATGGACTTAACATTTAAAAAAAATATCGATTTATAGACTAATCTTTTTTAGAACCATGTAGTTTAGTGGTTTTTTACTCTAGATTACAGACAGGTCGTGACTTCAAATATAGTGATCCCAAAAAAACCATGTGTGTTTATTTTTCTGATTCTCCGTTGAAAGAGGGTAATCTTTAGTAATAATGATAGTAGATCCATTTGCAGCAATATACCTTGTCAGGTCGACCTCCACGCGGTCACCCCTGGAAATCATTGTGGTGATTTTTTGGTAAAA